TTTTGCTGCGCTCCGTCGGGTTTTTGGCGGCATGTAGGGCGCTGTCATTGTTAGTGATAAGTTGCTTCGGCGTGCCAAAATTAGCTAGAATTCGTTCTTGCAATGCCAGTTTTACTGCCGCCGCTGTGGCAGTGCGGATTGGGACCAGTTCTGTATACTTGCTGAACTTGTCTACGAGCACCAGCAGATGAGCGTTGCCCCTCTTGGATCGCGGCAGTGGTCCCACAAAGTTGGCGCATTTAACGTCCCACGCCGCCGTCGCTGGCCGGAAGTGCATTTCCCCATCCGCCTGGTGCTGTTGGGCTTTAAACCGGTGGCAGCACAAGCACTTGTGCGTCGTCGTGGCACTCCTTCAGCACATCGAACGTTTACTGCTGCAACTCCAGTGCCCACCGCGCAGTGCGGCCTGTCGGGCTCTCGATGCAGTTCAGCCAGCGTAGCGCAAGGTGGTCTGTCACGACTGTGAAATTATATCCCTCTAGGTAATGTCGTAATTTCCGAATGCCCCACACAATTTCCAAGCATTCTTTCTCTGTCGGGACAGACCAGGATAGGGGCCTCCATCAGTTGTTGCTGAACTTCGTCAAACACCTGTTGTTGCGCCCGCTCCCATGCCGTTTTCTTGCCCTTCTTGCAGTTCGGTGAGTGGCCCGACTGTCGTCGTAAAATTGGGAACGAACGGCCGGCACCACCATTTTAAGTTGGTTGGGGGTTTTAATAGTTGCCACCTTTTCTGGATCCGTCTGTATCCCGCCTTCTATCACACTTATCTTGATTTACCCGGAAATTTCCCGCTCTCAGTCTTCGAAACACCACCCTCCAGTTGCATAGGTGTTCTTCGAATGTCTTCTCAACCACCACTATGTCGTCCAGCTAGGCAAACGCGTGTGGAGCCATATCTGGACCAATGATACTATCTAGTACCCGCTGGAAGGTGGCTGGGGTGAGTGGAAGCCAAATGGCATCACCCGCCATTGGAAGCGGCTCCGTCCGGGTACTGTGAATGCGGTATACTTGCGACTGTCTCGCTCCATGGGGATGTGCCAGTATCCGTTTCGCAAGTCGATGCTGCTGATGTACTTCGCCTGCCGCAGCTGTATGCATCTGGTTCCGAGCGCTCATTCAGCTGGCGGTAGTCGATCCACATTCGCCACACCCCATTCTTCTTACGTACCAGCATTATGGGTGCGCTGTACGCTGTCGGACGGCTCAATGCAGTCCTTCGCCAGTAATTCGTCTACCTTGTGGTCAATAACCGCTTGCATCGCAGGATTTTTCGGGTAGTAGCGCTGTTTGATGGGCCTGTCGTTCTAATGCGGATCGTGTGTGTTGCCATTGCGCCGCCAACTGAGCCCCAGTTGGCTCTGCTGTTACTAACGCTGCACACCGTACCTTTCGGCGACCCTGACGCCTTCTCCGCCATCGTCGCCTATCGTGGCCACGTTAGTGCTGCGCCCTGCAGGATGTTGGGTAACATCGGCACCAAGTTACCTACCGGCTCTCCACTCACTTCTCACACTTTATCTTCCAGCCTGCGCAGAAATACTCGAGAGTCCCCGCCGATGGGGTGGCTGCGCCTACCAGCCCGGTCGCGGCCATGACAGGTATTACCGCTGCTGGTTCTATTGTGCGTCTGTGTGCTTTAGCGTCGCTGTTTCCTCTGATGCTGGCTGCGGATCTGCTGAATCTTCCTGCTGCTCCTCCCATTTGTGGAGGAGGTGTACTCTCGGCGGTGCAGGGCTCTGCGAGCGTGACTGGAGACTCTCATATTGCGTCGCCAGCTGTTCCAAGCGGTCTTGATGTTGCGGACCTGCGGTCTTCACGAACGTGGTAAAGCGCGTCCTCGTCAGTTCCACTGTGCCAGTGGTTTCGAGCTCGAACTCCCGCAGCAGCTTCTCCTTCTTCACCGTTCGCACCCAACTCGTCCGTACAATCCGGAGCCAACATTGTAACTGGCCGCGTAGTCGCGGTCGTGCTTACCTTCACTTTATCTCGGGGTCCCTGCTCGGGCGCCACTTGCAACGCTGCCACGGTGAGACTTGCCGGCCAGAGTCGCTCGGTTATTTGTATTTATTTTTCCGAACCCTAAAAAAAAGTTCTGGGTGGCTGCGTTTCAATATATATGTAACTTAAAACTTTATTGCTCCTCCGTGGCAAATTAACATAATACACTTCGTTGGCTTAAACCTAAAAATCCTTCTCTCCGCTACATCTATCCGCCTTTGTAGTTGTACTTCAACTGTACTCCATTTTCAACGTATATCTACTTTTCTTCTCTCCCTATTAATCTCTACTCTCTTCCTCTTCCACCTCGCTGTCCACCCTGTGACGGTCGGTAAAAGGCTATATTAGTTTTGTGCGAAGAAGAAGGCGTGGCAGACCCCACAAAGTATATATATTATCTTGATCAACAAGATGATAATCCGAGTCGACATAGCCATCTCCGCTTGTCCGTCCGTCTGTATAAACGCAAGAATCTTAAAAAAATATAAGAGGTACAATAACCAAATTTCATACCTAGATTCTCCTAGGTCCGAGAAAGGACGAGTTTGTCTTTTTTTTATGCACTCCCCAGCCCCCTGCTATAAATGACTTTTCATAACTCCCGTTATTTTTGGAATTTTGAACTCAAGTTTGGTAACTATATCCCGTTAGTTATTAAGTGATTATGGGTCCGTATATAAAGTTTCATCATGATAGATCAAATATGACGAAAGTTATATCCATTAATTTAATCTCTGCCCGCAGCTGTTGTTGTTTTAGCTGCTTCGACATAATTATGTACTGCAAACATACATGTGTACAAGTACACCTAATAATGTTTTTACACGGTCTTTTTTTACACGGTTTGAAAATTAAAAATTGTATATATATTTCTTTAGATATAAGGAACCAATTACCTATTTTTGCATATGATCAATGCCTGTTTTTACACAGTAGTTTCTGAAACCAATCTAACGTATAAAAACAAAATTTGGTGTACACAGACACGATTTTGACGTAAATGTATGCTGTTGAAATTGTACTTGTTTTTAATTTAATTAATTAATTTTTTTTGTTTTCTTTTGTGGGTCAGGGCATTAGAGAGTTGACCCCGATCAACTTTAGCATTACTTTCTTGTTTTATATGAATTATATTAAACACACAGCACAAAAGTTGTTGTGACGACATTTTGTGACAAAACTTCGCGATAACCATTAAATTGGAATTTTGAACTCACATTTGGCAATTATGTATGCGATAGGTCAATAATGAAGAAAGTTAATAATAATAAAGTTTAATAAATATAATCTCTACCCAAGATCTGCCCGCAGCTGTTGTTTTTTAAGCTTTGACTTATTTCTGTACTGCATACATACATGCAAATACACACGTATAAACACGATTGTTATGTATGCTGATTAAACTGCACTTAAACATATACATATCTCCATTTATATATATATATTCTTCATCAGCATGACAAGACGAGTCAATCTATGTCTATCTGTCGTTCGTATGAACTCCTGGATCTCAGAAACTATAAGAGATAGAAACACAAAACTTTGCACAAATATGCCTTTTGTGTGTACGCTATACGAGTTTGATTTATTTTTGAGCAGTAAATATACTGCTTATAAACTTTCTTTTATTAGCAAGTCGTAGTCGTACTTGGTGTAGTACTTAGTGTAGTCTCCACAAGCTGGATATTGGTGATATAGAATCCTCTGCCCTCTCATTTTAGACCAAAAAGGAATTTTTTCATTTATCTTGTCTAGATGTACAACTGATTACGCTGTGCACAAGCGTTTTCGGACTATGTGTTCTAACTTTATTGATATTTTTCAATAATTTTCGACGGCTCTCTCAGCATTCCATAAAAACAGTTCTGTATAGCAATCTCCGGGGAGTTTTCTGACTACTGTTGGCTGTGAGTCAGGGTATAGCTTGCCGGGCGGACTCATTTGGCGATATTCACGCCCTTCAACCCTGTCGATGTTGATGAGATGAGAAACATACTACATGACCTCGAGGCTCCACAATAGATGGCATCTCCTATCAAACTCATCCAGTTGAACGTAATGAACACAGCGGTCAAAAGTCTGCCGAAGAAGAAATCCCATCTCTGGGAATTTCTCTGAGCACTGTTGGCTGTGAGTCAGAGTATAGCTTGCTGGAATGGCATTTAAATTTTCCACCACTCCCTTTTTGTGGAAAGCTACCAGATCGTTTAAGCGGAAGCCTTGAACAGCTAGAGTTGTATACTGCACGACAGACTAATAGCGGGCGGAAATGTTTGCTGCCCATTTTGAAGCAAGGTTAACGCCCTTCAGCATTGTCGGTTCTGATGACAGTGGGAGGTAATCAACGTAGCTGTCAAAAGTCTGCCAAAAAAGAAATCCCTGAGTCAACCCATGTCACGCAAAGTTTAAAGCTATGCCTCTGACCGTGTTCGGCACGTCTTTGGTCTACTCTGCAAGCTGAAGAAGGAAAATACGCTTATCCACGTACTCATATAATGCATCTTGGTTTAGCTGTCTACAACATATTACTTGAAATTGCATGGTAATAACATATAGAAGGAAGCTATCATCTAGGAATATAATGATTTGAATACATCCTGTTGTTATACTGCATCCAAAAGGAATAAAGTAAATATAACGACCAAGCTTGCTTTTTAATATCAATTTTTTTGCATCTCCACCCAGTTCTCTGGTTTTCGTTCTATGCGTATTTTTGTATATAATTTATTTGCTGTATCTTAAATTAAATATACACTTATGATTTTCAGTCTTGCGTGGGAAATATTATGTTATTTCAATGTTATTGTATCAATAAACAAAAACACAATATATAAATTACTTTAAATATATAAAAAGTATAAGGAAACCTAATTTCGAACACAGACTCTAAATCACCTTTTAATTAACATATATTTTAAAAATTTGTTGCTTTTGTTTATACCAATAGATGTTAATAATAAAAAATAAAGTAGTAGAAGTAAAGTAGTAGTAGAAGTACACAAAAAGGAATTATTAGTATACTATTACAAATCGGATTTATCATTACCATACAAATATTTTACAGTTATATTTACTAATTGCGACAGCTAGAAAATTTAATTCCTTGAAGTGAGTACTAAAGAATATGAGTTTGCTGGTAAAGCAATGCTTGCCGGATTTATTTTAATGGTGTTTACGTCTGCACTGGTTACGTTATAGCGCTGAATGATATTTGCAAGCAGTATAAATCCAAAGCCTCTAACCAAACTCTGTCCGATGCATGTCCTCTTTCCGATACTAAAAGGTAGGAAATGAGGAATATTTTTTTTTAAGATGAATTTGTAAGGTTGACTTTTCGCCGAGTCATTTTGGTCAAAATCATAATTTCTTGGCAGCAAGCCTTCAGATTGTGTAAATGGTTGTGTAGCCTGTTTTTCAAATTCTATTCCAGAGTCGGACCCTTCAGAGTTTCGCCTCTTTCGCGTTTCACACTTTGATATCCCTTTTCCAGATGCATGTGGTACTTTTTCCAAAAATCTTTCGGGATTAAATTGTTTTGGAAGGTCCCAATACTGTTCACTCGTGTTAAGGGCGTAGTTGTTAATCAAAACTATGGTTCCCACCGTCACTCCAAATCCAGAAATTACTGCATCTTCTGTGGCCACATGTGGAACAATGGGAGAAGAAGACGATCGTAGGACTTCTAATATTGTTGCCATTGTAAATGGCATTGCTTTCATATCATTTAGTTCTATTCTGCGCTGTCCGTTATTTGAAATAATGTCTGCCTCCTTTTGAATTTGTACTCCTATAGATCGATCTTTAGCTATATAACCGAGTGCGAGCATAACCAAATTTCCAACTGCTGAGTGACCGCCAATAAAGTCCTCTAACATAAAAATAATAGTATTGCGCGACACGCTCTCGTTTTCAATTCCACTTTTTAATAGAGCATCTGTAAAATCGTTGTCAGGCTCATCGAAATCTACATTTACTTCTCTTTCATTAATGACTCGATCAAGAATGAATTTACGAATCGTTGTAGACCAGTGCACAATTTTTTGGATGTGATTTTTATAAAATGGTGACAGCCAAGGTAAAAAGTCCAGTGCATATCCCTGGTTGATTTCCCAAAAAATTTCATCGAAATATCGCACAACTTTTCCAAATTCAACATCATTGTATTGAAAACGTTGAGAACACATGTATTGGCTGAACATATTTGCACAAGCTTGAAGTATCAGAGGCTTTATATTTAAAGATTGTCCAGGCAAAATAATTTTATTCAGCTCATTTAGAAATTTGTCAACCTCATTGCAACCAATTTGTGACATTTTTGTAAAATATGAAGAAGATTCCCGGGGAGAACAGTGGCGACGCGCCAAATTACGGCGTTTCTGCTGTAATTGCGACCAATCACACAGGGCAAGAGCTGATAAACAACAATAAAAATATATGAAAATTTCTATACAAATAGAAAATACTTAATATTGAGCCAATGTATGTTTTTTCAGAATAATGAACGTTGAAAAATTCGAAAACAATGTACATAGTTTTACTCACAATTATTTCTATCATTTCCAAAAAGCTTGTGATATCGTAAAAAATCCGGCCGCCCAGCGAAGAACTTCCCATTTTGATTAAGAACCTCTCGTATCAAGTCCAAGCTGCTTACCACCAAGCAACGCGTGTGTCCAAGAGTCAGAGAATAAATGTCACCGTATTGTGCTGCCAACTCTGTTAGTCCTTCGAATGGATTATGCACGTTTCGGCCGATTCTATCTAAGTTCCCAATTATTGGCCAGGGATGTGGTCCAGGCGCTTGTGCAAACTTTTTAAGTGTTTTTTCGGAATGCATGGAGCCACGTATAACTATTGCTTTTCGATTAATTTTGAACTGGATGGACACATATGAAGTTATAGCTACAAATAGAACTAACGCACAAATGGTATAAATCACAATAAAAATCATGATAATTTTTGTAATCGATATATATAAGTAATGTAACAGAACTTTTTATACGCGACAGTGAATGTTACTTCTTCAAGCATTCAATTTTCTTGACTAAACGCATCGGTTCCTGTATTTTGATTTTATAGGTGTTTTTCTTGCTCTTATTCTTACTATTCAATGCATATATTTTTTGGTTTGTGCCTTTATTCTGTATGCGAATCTGGTTTCACATGCACATGTACACAATTGTTTATGCAAAATTCTTAGATGCTGAAAGAGGCATCAATATCATCAAGCTAGGAAACAATATTTGAAGGTGGGTAGGCAAGAGTTAGGGTGATTCTAAAATTATACATGATATCTCATATTTTTTATTTAAAAAAAGGTAGTAGTAAAAAAAGCCTCAGGAACAATTTCTTTTAAATTCTACCTTGAAAATATTTAAATAAATGAAATAATAAGAGATCATTTTTGGAGGGAATTATTGTAATTTATATCCATCGGGGGCCTGGCATAGCTCAACGAGCTAGCAGGAATTCCGCAATTTCAATTCCTTCCTGAGTATATGACTCGGTTTGAATCACGGCGCTACCATAAACATTTATTATGTTTTTTGTTTTAAAAATGCAGCAGGAGTTGTCTCATATATATAAATATATATATGACCAAGTCTTCAGGCCGATTTTACAGCATTGAAATAATTAAAAACAAGAAAGGAATGCTTAGGTCGAGCGGACTCAACTCTTAAATAGTACCCTTTACACACTCTCACAACAAAAAAATTACATAAAAAAATTCTAAAAATTAATTTTTTTTTAAATTGCATAAATTTAATAAATTAAATACAAAATATTCAATACAGTGGTGTATGGTTATGTACAGGAGAAAATCAATGCCCACCTTTAAAAAAAATATTTTCTCTGGAGTAAATTTATTCATCCTTAACTTTTTGTAGCAGTGTACATTGGAGTCACATTTAAGCACTTTGGAATACATTTGAATGCAATTATTAAGCACTTTGTAGATGTCAGAAAAACACTGAGTGCGTTAAATATGTATTTAATATTATAATACATTCTGTATATACTGCTGCACATATGTATGTACATATGTAACCAGAATTAAATTGATCTGTATTAAAAACTTAAGCTTGTACTTAAAAGGAGTCCTGTATTACTCTTGGACTTCGATTGTTTCTTAATACATATAGTATATAAGTATATACATATAGCATATATATATATTTTTCAAATTTCTTACTTTCTAATATAGAGCTTGCAAGCTAATCGTGTGAAAATAACACTTTTTAAACTTTCATCTTAGAAGTTAAGCATTCTCTTAACCAATTTTTTAGTTCATGAGACAAGCGTTAATTACTTGTATGAATAAATATTATGAAGTGGCTAGTGGCAAACAAGCTTCACCAAATAAAAAATAAATAAATAAAAAATTGTCCTCTTGTCTAATCCTTTATCATTATTATTATAAACAATTTAGGACGTATACTATAAATATAAATATCAGGATTCATAAAACGCGCACACTGCTCACTGCTGCACACGCATGCAGCGCTGCCGTATACATATGGTATATGATGGTATATCTGCTGTGTATATGATATAGAGCGTCGGTCCAAACACGCTCCCCTATTAGAGAGGAAATCTTTACATCTAACAGCGAATCTTCTTTCCTGTAGGTATGACTCCTGTATTTTATGGATGTTTTGTGGAAGTAATATTTTGATTTTGTCAATTAAGCCATTCAGCCAAACGTGGTCGAAGGCTTGGGCGACATCCAAAAAAACAGCGGAGCAATACTCTCGTTTTTCAAATGCATTTCGTATCTCAGAGGTTATTCGATTGACTTGTTCAATCGCGAAAACCAAATTGGTGTATTGGGATTGCACTGGTGTGTAAGTGCCTCTTGATGTGGTTCGGGAGCATTTTTATACCCTGTACCCAAAGGGTACAAGGGTATATTAGTTTTGTGCGAGTGCACATAGAACACACAGAAGGAGGCTTGGTAGACCCCACAAAGTATATATATTCTTGATCAGCATGACAAGCCGAGTCGATATAGCCATGTCCGTCTGTCCGTCTGACCGTCTGTCCGTCTGTCTGTTCGTCTGTCTGTCTGTGTGAACGCAAGGATCTCCGAAAGTATAAGAGCTAGAATAACCAAACTTGGTATACAGATTCTCCTGAGCCCGAGAAAGGACGAGTTTGTTCATTTTTTCTGATCCACCCCCCCCACTCCCCCCCTATTAACGATTTTCTATAACTCCCGTAATTCTTGGAATTTTGAACTAAAATTTGGTAGTCACATTAGGTTAGTAATTATATATCCGTATACCAAGTTTCATTATGATAGAATGATCGAAAAGAAAGTTATAGCCATATAACCAGGCTCAATGCACACATACATACATATGTACAAATACACAAACACGCATAAGGCACGATTCTGATGTAAATGTATGTATGCATGCATGGAATATTTTATATTTAATTAGTTAATATTTAGTTAATTAATTAAATTAATTTATTTAATTTATTAAATTAAATTAAATTCATTAATTAATTTAATTACTTTTTTGTGGGGTGGTACTGGGTATTTAAGAGTTGAGCCTGCTCGACTTTAGCATTCCTTTCTTGTTTCGAATATCTTTGATAGGCACGGCAGGAGACTGATAAGTCTATATGCTAATGACTGAGACTTGTCCTTTCCGGCTTTATGAATCATTGTGATGATAGATTTTCTCCATTGTTGAGGATAAAAGCCCAATTTCATTATGATATTAAAAATAATGGTGAGAAAATATTCTGCACAGCTCGGCAATTCTTTTTAGGGGAAATAACTTGGTTCTTAACCCTGAAACGATATCCTTACTTTTTGTCATTTTGGTCATCCCTCGTCATTTTGACTTCGCCACAAAATTAAATGCAAAACAACAACTTACAATACCACCACCACCATTAGACCAATACAAATAGAAAAAACCTGTTTTAAATCGAAGTTGTTACCATTGAGATGAAAATAGTTTTTGCTTGTTATGTGAGTCTTTGATATGAGCAAGTGCTCGCATTTGTGCTGGGAAATGCCATTCGCATTCCAAAAAACATATTTTAAGAGAAATCATTTAATTATATTTCTGTTTGATTAGTAATTCCAGGAGGAGATTTTGACTGTGCATAATTTCCTGTATCGTTTGTTGTATCGCTATCTTGCTGTGCAGTTATTTCTGGCCTCTGTTGGGATTCCTGATGGTGCATTATTCCCGCAGAACTTTTGTGAAGTTCCGGCTTAGAGACTGAGGCAAAAGACTCGTTGATGTAACTAAACGCCTTAGCAAAAGATACTCCTGGAATCGTAGTTGATGGTATGCGTTATGTATGTCAATCGGAAGGCAACACGGTTTGGTCTCCCACTCCGTCAGTTCGCATCGGTCATCGCATAGCCATCGCACTTCACCGCGATCGCTGCACAAAACATTACGATACAATACACACACACACATGCATTGCTACACACAACTATTTCTCCACCAACATCGGATACTTAAATGAAATAAATAGTATTATATCAGCTAGTGCGTATTTAAAAGTATGTATGGCAATTTTGTGGGATGAGTGGGTTTCGCGCAGCGATTTTCTGTTGGCTTATGCCACCTTTTTGGCAGTGTGGTTTCCCCCACAATTGGTACATTTTTTCGCAGAAGGGTCCTCCTAATTTACGGGGCAGGGCTCAGAGGGGGGTACATCCCCACAGGCAGAGCAGACTGCACGCAGGGTGGCAGTTTGTGCATTGGACAGGTCCATTTCGCTTATGCTGTTCTTCAACGGCGATTCTACGGTGCAGATGATATTGAAGCTTATAAATTTGGTGAACTTCGTTTTTACTTTTAGGCATGCAATCAGGTGTCAGTTCTACCTTTAATATTGGTTGGGGAATTTTATTTCTGTTTATTATATTTGTTGGCGCAAATGCTGCTTTAGATTAGGATAGTTTAAGAGAAATGTTTGGATTTTAGTTTAGGGCGAAAAGAGAGCGCGAGGGCGGCCGTTTTGCGGACGTCGCCTCGCGCCCTTTTTTCGCCGTGTTAGGCTTAGTTTAGCATGTAAGCTGAAATTGAAGTTAGTTGTAAACTAGAGCTAAATAGAAGCTCAATTGCCGCAGATCATCATCGTTGTCGTTCTCGCATTAAATTTACCAGTTATAAAAAGCGAACGTCCCATTTCTTGTTTAATAATTTATATAAAATAATATAAATTTTCATTGGCGCCCGAGCAGGGACTTGCTTGTTAAAAAAAACTTTTTACGGAACCGCGTCGGTTGTGTTGTTCCTGCACTGTACTGGTGGAACGAAGTGGATTGTGGTTGCTGCCTACGTCGTCAACAGGATCATTGAAATGAGTCAAGTCGACCAAAGGGAAGTTTCGGAGCCAGATACTGTGCTAAAGCTTGAAAGTGAAATTTAACCAGCGCATTGCCTATTTCAAATTTCAACTTTTGGCACATACGTGAACATAATTTTATACGGTAGATAGTTGAGCATAATTAACACAAATATAAATCGCATGTCCTACTAATATTAAATAAAAGTGAACCGCTATAGGCAATTGTTTGCCTGCTCTTCGCATAATACATACATAATATTTAGCTGTTGTGCTAACGCACATAAGCATTTGTATAAGAATTAATCTTTTCGTTTGTCGCCACTTTCGCTGCTGCTTCCAAAAATATTGCCTTCGACCGTCAGTCAACTGCAGTTATTATCGTTTTCGTTCGCACTGCTAGACGACCATCTGTTGCGCGCCCCTACATTAGCTGAGAGCAGCATATTACTTTCGATTTCTCGTTTGTCACTCAGCAATTTTCGTTTGATTAAAGTTTAAAACCTTAAATCACTATGAGTAAGGACTTGATCGAAGAACTTAAAAGGAAGCGCGAGGGCTGTATGAGGAGTATATGTCGTATGCAACGGCAATTAAAAGAAGGCTCCATTTCGTTAGAGCCAATCGAGTTAGAATGCAGGTTAGAGCTTCTAACAACTCATATAGCAACTGCAAATATATTGCAAGCAAAATTGAAGCTAAAGATACAGAAGATGACTATCGTGAAGAGTTTGAAGAATATTGCATTATGACCAAATCATTATTAAAAGGCTAGCTGGAAAAACTAAGAAGGCAAAGCATCGACAGCTCAAGTTCGGCAAACGGTACTGCACCGTTTACTTCAAAAAAGCCATAGTGTCGATTACCAGCGGTCGTTCTTCCAACCTTCATGAGTCTTTTCGATACTTTTGTTCACAATGAACATGACTGCATGATATTGAAAAGTTCAATCACTTAATATCATGTTTGGCTGGTGACGCTTTAGGCACAATTCGCTCCTTCGAAGTTACGGAAGACAATTACAGCAAAACCATTGAAAGTCTAAAGCGGGTGTACGATAATGACTGATTAATATTTTTCGATAACATATCGACACTTTTCAATCTGCAAAAGATTTCCCAGCCATCTGCGTCAGCTTTGAGAAGCCTCATCGACACAGTGTCGGCCACCTATGACTCACTTCTGTCAATTGGTGACAACAAGAAAATCGCTAATGCCATCTTAATTTATCTAGTTATGGGCAAAGTCGATCCTACCACAAAAAAGAAGTGGGAAGAGCAGCTCGACTACATAACGCTCCCAGTCTGGCGAGATTGTGATGCTGCTCTCAACAGACGCTACCAGCATATTGTTGCTGAAGAAGCTAGTAAAGCACAAGCGAAGGGCAGTCAGTCAAGTAATATCACTCAGACTCAAAAAGTCAAAAACGCTAGCAGAATAAACCATTCGTTCGTTACTGCCAAAGACGAACAGAATAACCTTTGTCAATTTTGCAATTCAGCTGACCATTCGATTGGCATTTGCCAGGCGTATATTGCCTTGTCAATGCAACAAAGGTTTGACTTCGCCAAAGGTGCGCATTTGTGCATAAACTGTCTTCAACGAGGCCACACAGTAGCGAGGTGTAAGGCGAAGAAATGTAGCGTGTGTCATCGTTCTCAGCATACACTGATACATATTTATACTCCTAGCACAAATCTTGCGTTAGCACCACCCTCTCAAAACGAACAGTGGCGATTTCATTTTAGCAAAAGCGTTGTTAAATTCTGGAAACACCAATGCGCGTGCCAAGAAAGGAATTCATGCAGTGGTGAAGTCGCGTGTCAATTGTAGCGAGTTTTCCGCAGATTTTTGGATCTTGGGATCGATTTCTGGTAATCATCCCGATCAAACGGTAAACAGCAGCGGGTGGAAGGTCCCCAAAAATATTCAATTGGCCCATTCTCCATTCCATAAACCGCAAAAAATTAACATGTTAATTGGAGCAGAGTCATTGTTCGACTTATTAGGCCTCTTCTGGCGACTCCAGCTCCACCGCTCCCGGACATCCACAGCCAAACCTGCTTAAGGCGATGGCGCAATGCCTCGTGTCTCAAGCACAAGTTTTGGCAGCGATGGTCTCGGGAGTACATTTCGAGCAAAATGGTTCCAGGAGGAACCCAACGTCCACGGGTACAACTTGTCGTGGTGGCCGAAGGCAACGTGCCGCCACAAAAGTGGGTACTTAGCAGGGTCACCAGGACTCACGCCGGAACATACAAGAAGGTGCGGGTCATTGTCAGTGGTATTTGGCCACTGATCGATAGTTATTTCCGCCATTGACTTGTATTTTAGTTGCATTTGTGTTACCCCTTTTTATCGCGAATATATTGTTTTTCAGCTCCTCATTCGGTACATTGTTTTCAGCTCTTTTTTTTTTTGATGCGTTGGTTTTTTTTAGTCACGTATGGGCTTAACTTTAACTTGCACATAGCGATCGAGCCCAGTCTGTATTAGCGCTCTGCTTGCGCTTTGCGCTTTTGAAGTCCAGATGGTAGGTGGAGAAATAGGCTCTGTACCAGGTTGTCATTGGGGAGAGTTTTATGTAATCACCGTACGCAGGCGAAAAAGCCATGAAATTTGAGAAGAAATATAAATAAGCCGATACGAGATAGCCGTCAAAACTTAATAGTTGAGTAAAAACAAATATTTATAATAAAACGGTTGGACGAAGCCGCTCGCTTGCGACCTATTCATTGCCTGGTGGTGGAAGGCGTATGCTCCGGATGTTTTCTTGATTTATAAAAGGTTTTTGGTGGAATAATTAGTTGCAGTGTTGGTTTTGCCACTTGACTTATTTGTCTTTGTCTGCGTTGGCATTGTGGCCCTTGTGCCCTGGAGGCTTTGAGTTCTGTCAATGGCCCAGGCGACAGACGTTGTCACCTGCAATGCACTGGCGCTCGCACGGAGGATAATGTTTAGGGCAGATTAGGATAAATTTGTATCCAAAGAGGCATGGAAAAAGGTGAGATTTCTTCACTGTCATCCATCCAGATGAGGATGAATGGAACAGTGGATAAAGATCTCGCGGTACATAAAGAATAGGAATCTGGCAGAGTGTGTAAAGAGCAGAAAGGAGCAGCTGGTGGTTCCGGTCGTATAAATGATGGATTTCGTCCCCTCATTGAATTAGTAAAACGTGAGATTTTGTTTTGAGTATTGGTTTGATAGCAGTATTTTTCGCGGCGTACAACTTTTTTTTCTGTTTTTTCCTGTGGTAAGCTGTAATACAAAGAAAGGAAGATAGCAGATTTTTTGTTGTTGTGTACATTTTAGGAAGTTTGTTTGTTTAGTGCAGGTATATTTATTTTCGTGTTTGAGCGTATATATATATTTTTTGTGTATAGTCCAAATTTGGCCATTTACAGTTTTATATTATACTAGCAGGTCTTGTCCGTCTTTGCTGGGCTAAGTAAAATGTGCTTATAATTAAGTTTTTTAAAAGTTTATTTACTATATGATATTCTTCTTTCGACGCTCTCTAAAGTTTTTTAAAGAGTTAATTTTCCAAATAGTAAATATAGTACAATAAGTACTATGTATGGTTATACGCACCGGGCGGACTGCCAGTCCTGACTTACTGTGTGCTTTCTCAGCACGTTGTACGCACGGTCGAGTTATTCCCGAAAACTCCGACGCGGGACATTTAATTTTGATTTATATGACGATTGTTCTGTGTGTTGAATACACTCACAAAATAGGCTTAACGGTAAATGACTCTTCGATTTGTTCAGAATACATTTGTAGCGTTGTTAGCTAATACTAAAACGGTAAGTCGCTGTAAATATGCGATCAGCTGAGATGCTAGAGATGGGCATGTGTCGGATGCTCTACGTGCTAGAGCATCAAAACTATCGATAGTTGAATCCGTCGATACAATCAATAATTCCATCGAAGTTTGAATGCAATTAACAGAAAATTTAAATAATAACATCTTATAATTTATTGAGATCAATTAAACTTTTGGCATTTTGCCTTTGAAATTAACAGGCGTAAATGATCAAAACGAAAGAAGAAGCGCGAGCCAATGACTTGCAGTTGTTGTTGTTTTTTGTTTTAAAAATTTGATTTAAAACCATAGAACATTATTTATTACAATCAAACAACAGTGCTCGATTGTCCATATATACATACATACATACATACGAATGTACATATATGCTATATATGTACGTACACAGGCATACATACATACATATGTATGTCCATATGCATGCTGTTCTGTGTGTGAGTGTGTGTATATGATTTCCTCAACTATTTGATATTTGCGTTCTTTGTAATTTGTTGTTGCTGCATAAAGTTACAAATGTACTAAACAAAGAAAAAATTACTTTTAAAAATGTTAAATAATTTTTAATTAATTAATATTTCATGCTCTGTCAGTGCAAGACGAATGAACATACATACATAGATGTGTACATGTAGATAGATGTGTACATATGTATGTGTGTACATTCACACATTAGTGTCCCACATTTTGCTTTGGCTATTTCAATCGTTTGCACGCAACTTGCTGCTTGTATGTGTGTGTGTGTGTGTGTATGTATACTTTGTTGTCCCCAACTGTTTGATATTTTGTATTGTTTGTTCTGCCTGCATTTGTAAAATGCATATTTTGAAAATCCTTGAACGCAAAGTTGTAGATTTAGTTACGTAGATTAAATTCCCCAAATTTGAAATCGGTCGGAAAAAATGTATAACACAAACTTTTCATTTGAAAAGGTGAATAAATATTAAAACCCCAATAATTCAAGCTCCACCACAAATTTTGAAAATCCGATTATGCAGTTTTGTTTGTATTCTTTTATAGATTATAAAAATCAAATTTAAAGTTGATCGGTGCAGAAATGCAGAATTTTCAAACAAACTTTGGAGCTCGTTTTCCCCCCTTTGGAGCTCGAATTTTCCAAAATCTTCTTAGTGGGCACCCTCACTATGATAGGATCCTTAAGCCCAAATTTCAGCTTCATAGCTCTAGCCGTTTGGGCTGTGGGCTGTTGACGCGGATTCCTTTTGTGCTCCATTTTTTTTACAGGAATACTCCCATATTTCAGTCCTCAAACAAAACCAAGCATGCAGTTTTTCTTGGAATTTTTCTGAGAGTATACAAACTAAGTTTGAAGTTAATCAGATGAAAATTGTAGAATTTTCATACAAACGTTGGAGCCTGTTTTCCCCCCTTTGGAGCTCGAATTTTCCAAAATTCTTCTTAGTGGGCACCTACACTATGAAAGGATACTTGAGTCCAAATTTCAGCTTCCTTGCTTTTACCGTTTGGACTGTGTGTTGATCACCAATCAGTCAGTCAGGACAAACTGTTTTATATATATAGGGTGAAAGGCTATACTAGTTTTGTGCGAATGTATGTAACAGGCAGAAGGAGGCGTGGCAGACCCCACAAAGTGTATATATTCTTGATCAGGGTGAGAAGCTGAGTCGATATAGCCATGTCCGTCCGTCTGTCCATCCGTCTGGACGAGCGCAAGGATCTCAGGAAGTACAAGAGCTAGAATAACAAAACTTGGTATCAAGGTCCACTAAGTCCTAGGCAGGTCAAGTTTATTTTTTCATTCTGATACACACACCCCCCACTCCCTCGCAACTCGTGTTTTTTTTTATAACTTCTGTAATTCTTGTAATTTTGAAATCAATTTTGGTAGTTACAACCAGTTAGTGCTTATGTGTCCGTGTGCCAAGTTTCATCTTGATAGGTCAATTCTGAAGAAAGTAATAGTAATAAATAAAATCGCTGCCCATGCTCTACTTGCAGCGCTACCCGCAGTTGTTGTTGCAGCTTTGGTTCAACTTTGTGCTGCATAAATACACGCAAATAAACACGCATAGACATGTGATGTAAATGTAAAACTGTACATAAACATGTCTTCTATGTATGTATTAAATAACTTTTCTGAAATCTCTATATATATAAAACAGTTTGTCCTGACTGACTGACTGACTGACTGACTGACTGACTGACTGACTGATTGGCAATCAACGCACAGCCCAAACGGTAAGAGCTAGGAAGCTGAAATTTGGACACAAGATCCCTCTTATAGTGAAAGTGAGCACTAAGAAGCGGTTTTGGAAAATTCGAACGCCAAAGGGGGGAAAACGGGCTCCAACGTTTGTATGAAAAATCTACAATTTTCATCCAATTAACTTCAAACTTAGTTTGTATACTCTCAAAAAGAATACAAGAAAAACTGTATACTTGGTTTTTCACCATTTTTCCTGGGGCATGAAAAAGGGGGGGTTTTCCGTGGAAAAATTGAAACACAATCAACACCCCACAGCCCAAACGGTAAAAGCTAGGAAACTGAAATTTGGGCTCAAGTATCCTATCATGGTGTAGATGCGCACTAAGAAGGGATTTTGGAAAATTCGAGCTCCAAAGGGGGGAAAAGTAGCTCCAAAGTTGGTTTGAAAATTCTGCATTTCTGAATCGATCAACTTTAAATTTGGTTTTTTTAATCTATAAAAGAATACAAACAAAACTGCATACTCGGTTTTTCGAAATTTGTGTTGGAGCTTGAATTATTGGGGTTTTAATATTTATTCACTATTTCAAATGAAAAGTTTGTGTTTTAAATTTTGTCCGATCGATTTCAAATTTGGGTAATATAATCTACGTAACTAAAAACACAACTTTGCATTTAACGATTTTTAAAATATGCATTTTACAAATGCAGGTAGAACAAACAATACAAAATATCAAACAGTTGGGGACAACTAAGTATACATACACACACACACACATACATACATACAAGCAGCTGTTCGTGTAGTTGCGTGTAAACGGTTGAAGTAGCCAAAGCAAAATGTGAGACACTAATGTGTGAATGTTCATTTGTACAAATGTATGTACATATATACATACATACATATGAATAAAAGTACATTCGTCTTGCACTGACAGGGCAAGAAATGTTAATTAATTAAAAATTATTAACATTATAACATAAACATTTTTATGTTATTTTTTCTTTGTTTAGTACATTTGGCATAAGGGATTTTAGGACAACGGACTACAAGGGCGTACGCAGGTTGGGCAGGGGGAACATTGCTCCCCTTAGAAAGAATTTCGCATTATGAATTACACCAGCACCATATGTATTACATACGTACATACATATGTACATACGTCTGTATGTATAGTATGTACATATGTACATCAATAAGTATGTATGTACGTTCATACATTCCTATATACATATATAGGTTTGTATGTACAAGTATGCAGTGGGCTATCGAACACTGTTGTTTAATTGTAAAAAATAGTTTTCTATGGTTTCAAATCAAAATTTTTAAAACAACAACAACAACTTCAAGTTATTGGCTCGCAAAACTTCTTTCGTTTTGATAATTTACGGCTGTTAATTGCATACGAAAAATGCCAAAAGTTTACAGTTACCGTACACAACAAATACATTTGTATGTATGTATGTATGTGTACAGTGAACAATCGAATACAGTATTATAATCAATAACTCTCAAACGATGTTTTTCGATGTATTTGTATTCGACATGTATTACGATATATCAACACAAGTATCGATATTTGCGATATATCGCATTTGATTTTATTATTGGGGTTTTAATATTTATTCACTTTTTCAAATGAATAGTTTGTGTTATAAATTTTGTCCGATCGATTTCAAATTTGGGTAATGTAATCAACATTATATCAACAAATTGGCATTCAACGATTAAAATATAGCAATATGTTTTTTACTTGCCATATATCAAATATCAAATAGTTGGGGACATCACATACACACACTCACACATACATACAACAAGCAACAGTTCGTGTCTATGTGTGCCCATGCATACATACATATGTACATGCATATGCATGTATGCCTGTATATGTATGTAGCATGTACATACAAAACAACAACAACAACTTTAAGTTGTTGGCTCGCACATCTTCTTTCGTTTTGACCATTTAATGTTAATTGCAAAGGCAAAACGCCAAAAGTTTACAGTTACCGTCGCTAAGCAACGACTGCATAAGCGATAGTAAAGCAGAAACCGAATAACGGAGCTACGCATATTCTGCTTCGCATTGCGGGCAGATGTATGTATGTATGATTTGTTCTTATTGATCTCAATAAATAATTAGATTTTATTATTTAAATATTCTGCTTATTGCATTCAAACTTCGATATTTTGATGGTATCGGTGGCTTCAACTATCGAAAGTTTTACTCTAGCAAATTGAGATGAGAATTGTCAGTGCTTTTTGATCGTGGCTCATCGCTGCACGGCATTGACACGAGTGCCGTGTTTCATATTCCGAGTTTGTGCGTGACCGTATTGACTCAATATGGCACGAAAAGACTCAAATGTGAATTTAAAATTAGGATATACCCTTATAATTATTCCCATTTTTTGCAAATCGTCTATCTTAAAACGTTGCGTTATCTCTATATATAAAACAACGCACAGCCCAAACGGTAAAAGATGAAATTTGGACTCAAGTATCCTTTCATAGTATCCATCATAGTGTAGGAGCACACTAAGAAAGGCTTTTGGAAAATTCTAGCTCCAAAGGGGGGAAAACGAGCTTTAAAAAATATTAGTTATAGTGGTCATGTTCGTTTAACG